TATGTATAGATATACATACATATCTACATATATATTTGTATATATCTACACATACATATATACATATACATGTACATATATTTGTGTATATATGCACACATACACAACAGACATATATACACACATTCCACATACACACATATATGTATATATACATATATGTATGTGTGTGTGTGTGTATATGAAACAGGAAATAGTAGACAGGAAATAGGATGAAGCAGCACAAATGAAACAGGAAGGAGCAGAAAGAAAGAAGCAAAATGAGAAAAGGTAAAAGAGAAGAGGCAGAGAGAAAAGAGGCAAAGAATCTCCTAAAAGAACCAATGGGTCAAGGTCAAGGGCTGTTGACGTTGAAGACAGTGGCAGGCCTAGAATGGGCCCAGCAGCAGGTTGGAGAGGAGACTGATAGCATGGCCAACAGGGGCTTGTTCTGAAGGGACAGAGAGGAGCCTGGCTTCAGGGAGATGTGCTGCATTGAAGAATGGACACTCGACCTACATGCTTCCTAATCCTGATCCCAAATTGTAACCTGTTGTTCCTGATCCCTGAGTGGAACCCTGACCACTTAATTATCAGTACGGTCTGTGCATTCTGTGTGGCCCTTGCGATGGACTGACACAATAACTACAACGGACCTGAGCATGACAGAGGTCACGATGATGGCACAGGATAGGGCAAGCTTGAGATCTGTAGTTCAAGGGAACTGGCAGCACCTCCCAACAACTGAATCCAAACAGAAGTAGAAAATACGAGAGGATGGCTACTGTCCGAGTTGGTTTGAAAAATAACCCCAAACCCTTAAAATGATAGGTACTAGCTAGGTGATTTCAACTCATCAGGACAGCGTAGAATTTCCCTGAGGGGTTAGCTAGTCTGTAATATTTATGGGAGCTTTGGAGCTGCCAATCCAAAGGTATACAGTTCCACGAAATTGGGAGGCAAGGTGAGACAAAGAGGGTGAACCTTAATCTCACACATTCTGAGCATTTATTAGAAGGGGCTATGCCTTGGAAAAGGGTATCAAGCTTGTATAGGTTGAGGGTCAGTGAAGAGGAAAATCCTCAACAAGATTTGCTCAAGTATGTTGGAGCTGATGAGGATGACATGGCATATAGCACAGGGTTCAGATCTGTTTTCATATGACTCACACATTTGACTCAATGTCACCTAACAACAACAACAACCACCACCCTGGGCTGACCTTGGACTTCTCAGAAGTTAGTTACAATTCTTTCCATACTTTTCAATCACTATTAGGTGGGTTTTTTTTTTTACCATCCATGAGGACAAGAAATGGATGTAGGACTTAGAAATCAGAAAGATAAGGACCCTCTTGTTCATTATGAGGGAGAGCAGGGCTGCCAGGAGCCACAGGGTCATAACCCACAACATCAGAATTAGGGCTGGAGATCAATGTCCCTACAGCACCCTATACACAAACACCAGTCATGTGACACTCCGGGCTGTCATTATTGGACTCTACTAGTAACAGATACATGGATTCTGCATTGTTAAACAAGTATGCCTGGTGATTCTCAGAAATCTATGAGACACATCAAATAGTTTGTTCCTCTTGGTCAAATTTTCCACTGAAATTCTTTTCGGAGCTTGTTTTAAAATACATCTCCATTCAATGCCAACATATATGGAATTGATAATGTTCTATTTCAACCAAAGATCCATTTTGGTGGAAATCAGTTGTCGTCAGAACAGCTCTGACTCCTGACAATCTCACATAGGTCAGAGTGGCGCCCTACAGAATTTTTAAAGGCTGACTTTGTTTTTTAAGGGAAGCAAATGACCAGGACTTTCTTCCAAGTGTCTCTGGGGAGATGTGACAGTCTTAGCTGTTTGTGGATGAGTGTGGTAACCTTTTGCACCACCCAGGGACTCAATACCTTTAACCCAGTTGATGCTGTGAGTATGGCGAAACTGGACAGGTGCCGGCAGCTGCAGGAGGTGTGATTTTCATCAGAAGAAATGACGTGGCAGCCTGAATCTGACCAAGATGACCCTTGCCAG